TGAGACGGAGTTTCCCTCTTGTTACCCAGGCTGGAGTGCAATGGCGCGATCTCAGCTCACCGCAACCTCCACCTCCCGGGTTCAGGCAATTCTCCTGCCTCAGCCTCCTGAGTCGCTGGGATTACAGGCACGCGCCACCATGCCCAGCTAATTTTTTTTTGTATTTTTAGTAGAGACGGGGTTTCACCATGTTGACCAAGATAGTCTCGATCTCTTGACCTCGTGATCCACCCGCCTCGGCCTCCCACAGTGCTGGGATTACAGGCTTGAGCCACCGCGCCCGGCCTAGCAATGTATTTTTAAAGGGTAGTTGGCACTACCAGGCACAGTGACTCACGCCTGTAATCCCAACACTTTGGGAGGCAGAGGCCGGTTAGATCATCTGATGTCAGGAGTTCGAGACCAGCCTGGCCAACATACCGAAACCCGGTCTTTACTAAAAGTACAAATAATTAGCCAGCTGTGGTGGCAGGTGCCTGTAATCCCAGCTGAGTCAGGAGAATCACTTGAACCTGGGAGGTGGAGGTTGCAGTGAGCCAAGATCATGCCACTGAACTCTAGTGTGGGTGACAGAGTAAGACTCCATCTCAATTAATTAATTAATTAATTAATTAAGGGTAGTTGGCACTATTGAATTAACCATACAAGTGAAGAAGTAACTGTTGGATGAAGGAGGATAGAAACAGAAAAGAGCAATTGAATTTATTAAGCTGGATCTGCTGACCAATAAGAGTTTGGTTAGATGTCATAGTAGAAGCCCGAGGCCTGGCTCAGTGACTCATACCTGTAATCTCAGCACTTTGGAAGGCTGAGACAGGAGGATTGTTTGAGTCCAGGAGTTCAAGGCCAGCCTAGGCAACATAGCAAGACCCGGTCTTGCAGCCAGAGAGGTGGGCATAGACAGCTTTATTTGTGGACGTGTGCAATAGTGAGGACGGTCACTATGAAGTAGAAGAGGGCTGCAGGTTGTTAGAAGACTCTTTTAAAGTTTCAAATTACTCTTTTTTTTTTTTTTTGAGACAGAGTCTTGCTCTGTCGCCCAGGCTGGAGTGCAGTGGTGCGGTCTTGGCTCACTGCAACCTCTGCTTCCTGGTTTCTTGCAGTTCTCCTGCCTCAGCCTCCCGAGTACCTGGGACTACAGGTGCACACCACCACGCCCGGCTAATTTTTTTTTTATTTTAGTAGAGACGGGGTTGCACTGTGTTACCCAGGCTGGTCTTGAACTCCTGAGCTCAGGCAATCTGCCCACCTCGGCCTCCCAAAGTGCTGGGATTACAGGCGTGAGCCACCGCACCTGGCCTCAAATTAGTTTTAAATGGTTTTGGCACAGTGAAATTTAGCTTTAGGTTGTCATCCATATCCATACAAATGAATTTTATTCAGCCGCAAAAAGAGATGAAGTACTGATACATGGTGCAACATAGTTGAACCTTCAAAACATTATGCTAAGTGAAAGAAGCCAGTCACAAAAGACCATATACTAAATGATTCCATTTATAGGAAAGTCCAGAAGTATCTGTGAATATACTAAAAATCATTGAATTGTATAAATTCATTCATTTGAATGAATTTAATGGCATATACAAATTAAATTTCCATAAAGCTATTTTTAAAAAAATATGTTACCCATAATCCTAGCATGCCAATCCAATAATTTTTATTTTCTAGGATATTTAGACGAGGCAAATTGGCCCAATCTGGAGAAGTATTTTGGAAGGAGCTGGGTTTGAAGGAGGAGAGTAATCATTTTAAAGGAGAGAATTAGAAGAATAAAGATGGCATATTTGAAGGGTTGGCTGTAGAAGAAAGCAAATGGGATGAGAGAACCAGAAACAGATTTTTTAGCTAGATTCAGTAGACTGGCCAGCAGAAGAAAAGGATGTTTAATAGTCTTTCAGATTCATATTGAGAATTAATTGTGTGTGTGTGTGTGTGTGTGTGTGTGTGTGTGTGTGTGTTCAGTAAATATTTATTAAGTACTTATGAGCCAGGCACTATTTAAGTTACTAGGGGTACAGCAATAAACATAATAGACAAAAACCCCTGCTGTTAGTGAGTTTGCATATTACAGTGTGGAGAGACAGACATTAAATATTAGATAGATGGTTATAAGTGTTTGACCTTTTTTCTTCTCTCTGTCACCCAAGCTGGACTGCAATGGCATGCTCATGGCTTACTGCAGCCTTGGCCTCCCAGTGCACGCGATCCTCCTGCCATAGCCTCCCATTTCACTGGACTACAGGCACATTCCACCACATCTGGCTAGTTTTCTGTAGAAACAGGGTTTTGCCATGTTGCCCGGGCTGGCCTCAAACTCCTGGACTCAAGCAGTCTATCTGCCGTGGCCTCTCAAAGTGCTGAGATTACAGGAGTGAGCCACTTCACCCAGCCAAGGTTATAAATGTTATGGAGAAAAGTAAAGCAGAGAAGATGGATGAGGGTGGTGGAGTGGTCAGGAAAGACTTCATCAAGAAAGTGACATTTTAGCTCTGAAGGAGGAGAAGGGAGTAAGCCACATAGATAAATGAGGAAAGAACATGATAGCAAAGAGAACTACACGGGTATAGGGACTCTGAAGTAGAAGCGTGCCTGTGTTTGAAGAACAGCAAAGAAGCCAGTGTTTTTGCAGCAGTGAACAAGGAGAAGAGTAGTAGGTGAGGTCACAGAAGTAATGGGGTTGGCCAGATCACATAGGACCTTGTAGCCAATTTTAAAGACCTTGACGTTCTGAGTAAGATGAAAGGCATTGGAGGCTTTTGAGCAGGGCAGTTTTGTGCTTTGATACATATATTAATGTGTTGAGAATATACTGTAAGGGATGAGGTTGAAAGTGGAATAGGGGCAGAATGTGGTGACTCACGCCTGTAATCCCAGCACTTTGGGAGACCAAGGTGGGTGAATTACCTGAGGTCAGGAGTTCAAGACCAGCCTAACCAATATGGTGAAACCCCATCTCTACTAAAAATACAAAAATTACTGGGGCTTGGTGGCCTGTGCCTGTAATCCCAGCTACTCCAGAGGGAGGCTGAAGCAGGAGAATCACTTGAACCCCGGGGGGGGTGGAGGTGGCAGTGAGCCAAGATTGCACCATTGGACTCCAACGTGGGTGACAGAGCAAGACCCTAAAAAAAAAAAAAAAAAAAAAAAAAAAAAAAAAAAAAAAAAAAAAAAAAAAAAAAAAAAAAAAAAAAAGCGAAAAACGGCTGAACCAGGGCAATGAGGGCATAGATGATAAGTAGTTGTCAGATACTAGATGTTTTGATGTGCTAGCTAGCAGGATTTGCTAATGGGTGTGTGTGACATGGAAGACAAAGAGAGGAGTAAAATTTCTCCAGCCATGTTTGTTTGTTTGTCATAAACAACTGGCAGCATAGAATTAGTATTTACTGGAATGTAGAATTCTAAGAGAAGAGCAAGTTTTGGTGGTGGGTGGTAGGTATCAGGAGCTCAGTTTTACACTTGGCAAGCTTGGGAAACCTGCTAGACATCCACGTGGAAAGACGGAGTAGGCAGTTAGGTGTGTGAGTCCAGAGCAGAGGGCAGAGTAAGGACTGAGGCATCAATTTGAAAACCATTAATGTGTATATGCTATTTAAAGCCGCGAGACTTCAGGAGATCACCAAAGCAATGAGTAATGACCGGTAAGGAAAGGGAAGAGGTTCCCTGGAAGCCAAACAAAGAAAACTTTGAAGGAATCAGGGAGAGAGGCACTGTGGGGTTCTGAGCAGGAAAATGGTGCATGGAAGTAACAATGGCAATGATCTCTTTTGATACTTTTTCACAAAATTCTTTCCCAAAGGACTGAAGATTTTAAGCAGATTATACCAGATAGAGGAACATAACGGAACATCATCTGACTTGCTCAGAATCAGAAGTGAGTGACAGAGCATGCTTGATAAGAAAGCTTTCACCAAAGCAATAAAAAATCATCCTCTCTTCCCCTCTCCGCCCCCCACCCCCTGTCAGTCATGTAACATGGTATGATATTCCCTTTCTAGCCGTGAGGTTTATATTCCTGAAATTTTCTTTTTTTTTTTTAATTTATTTATTTTACTTCAGGTACATACTAAATCTGGCATTTCTCCCCATGTTATCCCTCCCCACGAAAATTTCTATAATAAGGTCGTTTAAAGTACAGGAGCTCAAGATCTTGCATTATGAACTGAGATGGAGATTGTGAAGAGACTTTTAAAGTTTATAAGTAATTTTTTTTCTTTTGCTCAAGATGCTAGAGAAAGCATGTGAAATAAAGATAACATCAATGGCTTTGTATTTGTTTTAAATTGGATATAGTGGGTACTCTACCTTAATTTCCATTTACTACTTCCTTCTTTGGAGAGGGGAGTGGAGCAGGGTAAGTCAATATGTTGCTGAGGCTGGCCTCGAACCCCTGGGCTCAAATGATCCTCCCTCCTCAGCCTCATGAGTAGCAGGGACTATAGGTGTGGACCACGGCACCTGACTGTATGTACTGTTTCTTGCTTATTAGAGACTTCTCTGCATCTCCCTCTTCTATCCTATAACTTCGAGGAAAAGATTGTAGATTTGTTTTTCATTGTTGCAGATAACAGGGAGACCTTTTTTCCTTTGTATGCTTATGCATTTAAATATTTAATACCATTCTGAGTTTTATTTGAAAATAATTATGAGGAGTACCTTTTGAAAATTCAAAAGGCATAATTTTCAGGATTTGGAGACACTTTAAAGAAAACTACATTTTAAAACATTAAGTTCTTTCCAAGATGCAAATATGATGATGCTGAAGAGGGAAATAGTCTATACATCCTGTACTGTTTTTATTTTTCTGTTCTTGGCCCCTCATTATGAATTTTTGTGTATTTGATAGGTGTGAAAAAGACAGCATGAACTTTACCCCAACACACACCCCTGTCTGCAGAAAGTAAGACATTTGCTTATTTTCAACTTGTTAAAGTAAGAAATCAAGACTTGTATAGCCTTAGTCTTAGCATAGGAACTGGAAAGGTACTGGAAACATACTTCCTAACTTTTTTTTTTTTTCTTTTTCTTTTTTTTTTTTTGAGACAGAGTCTCACTCTGTTGCCCAGGTTGGAGTGCAGTGGTGCAATCATAGCTCATTGCAGCCTTGACCTCCTGGGCTCAAGCAATCCTCCTGCCTCAGCTTCCCAAAGTGTTGGGATTACAGGCATAAGCCACTGCTCCCAGCCTGAGACAACCCCTTTTAGAAAATATGAAATGTTGGCTGGGCGCAGTGGCTCACACCTATAATCCCTGTACTTTTGGGAGGTCAAGATGGGTGGATCACTTTAGGTCAAGAGTTCAAGACCAGCCTGGCCAACATAGTGAAACCCTACATCTACTAAAAATACAAAAATTAGCCAGGCGTGGTGGCAGGCACCTATAATCTAAGCTACTCGGGAGGCTGAGGCAGGAGAATCACTTAAACCCAGGAGGTGAAAGTTGCAATGAGCCTAGATCATGCCACTGCACTCAGCCTGGGTGACAGAGCAAGACTTCATCTCAAAAAAAAAAAAGAAAATATGAACTGTTAAGTAGGCTGAGCACTGTGGCTCACACCTGTAATCCCAGCACTTTGAGAGGCTGAGGCAGGCAGATCACAGGGTCAGGAGTTTGAGATTAGCCAGCATGGTGAAACCCCGTCTCTACTAAAAAAATACAAAAATTAGCTAGGCATGGTGGCGTGCGCCTGAAATCCCAGCTATTCGGAAGGCTGAGGCAGGAGAATTGCTTAAACTCAGAGGCAGAGGTTGCAGAGCTGAGATCACACCATTGCACTCCAGCCTGGGCAACAGAGCAAGACTCCATCACAAA